CAATTTAGTACATTGTAATACGTGCAATGTAATATCAAATAACATGCTACATGTTATAATCAAGCACTGTACATGTGCTTTAGTACGTTAATCAACACATCAAAATAAGTTTGTTTACTTTTTATTAAAACATAATGATTTAAAATGTTCTTTAAAGTATAACGTTTAATTTGGGATTATTACAAAGTGCACTTTTGAAAAGTGTAAGAAACAGTCAAGAATGTGTCTCTTTTCAAGTGCACTTAAGTGTTCTTTTATTCATTTATATTACATTATCTGCAAGTACAGTGTTTTAAAAACATACTTAAGATTTGCAGTGCACATTCAATACAGCTGACCCTTCCCAGGGAGTTTGATTGACAGGCGATCTGACCAATCATAATGCCAAATCTGCCATACCTTCTGATGTTCATTCATGTTTATTTCACGCTTTAAGTAAATATGAGAAGACGATTGGTTCACATACTGCTTGAACTGAGGCAATACAGCGATCTGTCACAACACATCAAAGAGCCGCAAAACGGTATTTATTGTTTGAATTTCTTTAAAGAATGACCAAATTTGAAGCCATGCCGCTTTCACGCCACATATGTTCTCACGCAGTAAAAATACATCTCGGAGCAAAGAGGACACTGACAACATGCCGACAGACAAGACGGAGCAGGTTACTTCTGGTATGAAACATGGTCTCAGCTTTCAATTTTTGTCATTTTTTAAGAATTTCAAACAGTAAAAAATACCATTTTGGCTCTTTAATGTGTCATGACAGATCGCTGTAGCACCTCAGTTCAAGCGGGATGTGAAGCGATCATCTCTTCCTCTATACTACTTATATCATGAAATAAATAAAAATAAACATCAGAAGGTATCTTGTTTCAACCGCAGGAAGATGTCAGTACACAACATTTTCAAGTTCAAGACCACTGACGTTAATCTACTCTCCTGTCTTGTTTGTTTGTCGGACAAAAATGGCAGATTTGGCGTTATGATTGGTCAGATCGCCTGTCAATCAAACTCCCAGCAAAGAGTCAATCGAGTGCACTTCATTTTCACAAGATCACTCTCTCTGTTATATCTAGTACAATTTGATGTGACAAGTTGTTTTAGCACAGTGAATTAAATTTCAGTGGTCTGTTCTTGAACAGTCTAGAGAGATTGAATATATCTATATATCTTTATGAACTGCTCTAACAACAGGAAGAACACAAACGCTGCACCCAAACATTAAAACAGAAGTGTGTTACCCTGTCACTGATTCAACTTCTGTTTTATAAAACTGTCGTCTCTTACATGTAACTCATGGGATTTAAAAGAACAGTTCACCTAAATTAAAATACTGTTCATTTATTCACATACCAGTTCATACTGTTCATTATTCACTCTCATATCTGTATGTTGTTATTTTCTATTCTCTAATATAGGGTGATCAGTCACATGTTGTTTAATGGCTCTGTTGATTGGCTCAAAAAATGGATAGTGCTAAACCTCCTTGAGTGATAGCACAATAATAGAGTTTTGTGGCAAAAACCCATTAAATTCATGATGAAATGGATGTAGAGACAGATTTCTTCTTCTGTATTATTAGGTTCTATGCATCGGCTGTTGATTGGATGTTGAGATGTGGTACATAAGTGCAAACTAAATGTTCAGACACTGAAAATTTAATTGCATTATCATTTAAATGTATATTAAATAAAAGTAGCTGAACTTTAGTGTCCCATGTAAGTAGGTACCATTATACTTAAGTTTAAAATTACACACAACTACAAGTAGGTTTTATATGCAATTCTTATGTGTCATTTTTATATATAATTTCTATTGTCTTTGAAATATGGTCAAAGTGTTACTGCTGAATGTACAGACAAACATTTATGATAAACTAAAATAAACTTTAATGTCATTTCTGTTGAAGCCTGTATGTCATGTACAGTATTTATTTGTAATGATGGATTTAGTACATTGAAAATATATTAACTTTTAAATATAATATCAAATAACACAGTCAAAATTACAAACACCTATAATCAGCTCTTTAAAAGTACTTTACATGTGCTTTAGTATGTTAGTCAACACAGCAAAATAAGTGTAATTCTTTAAAGCATGACAAAAGATTTTGGAAAAACAAAATAAATGTACTTTTCCATAATTATGATCGGAAAGTCCTGTATACGTCACCAAAGTGAAGCCTTGATTAAACTATAAGAGATAAAAAAAAATTACACCAGTAAGACCAGACCCACTTTATATCAAGTGTTCTTAACTATGTATACTTACATTTAAATTAATCATTTACAATACAATGTTCTTCTTGAGTGCATACATGTTTTACACTGTACTTATATTTGAAAATACTATCCTGCATACATCTGTAATTAATTTCTATAATTACACTGTTGACCCTCTATCCCTTAAACCTAACCAGACCACCAAACCTGTCCCATTTTTACCCGTATTTCACCTTAATAGCAGCAAATGTGTTTAGCAATTCAACATGAACACAGTAGGTACATTGTACCTAACAATTCATTATTTTATTATTAAGTACATATACAACATTTAGAAAAACCTAATATAAAGTAGGACCTAAGACCTATATGCATTTATTAAAAAGATATGTTGGATTTCATTTCATGCCAACTTTAAAAATGTGTGTTGACTTTGTAATCAGAATTTCTGTCCATGCAAAAGTAATAAACAGAAAGTGAAATATACAGTATTGCTTGCTGCTGCATGCTGCAACCAAAATGTGAAGATGTAATGCAAACATTGGCAAATCAAGCAGGGCTCATTGTAGCAGCCTGGTGCTTTGTAAAGACAATTGTGTTTCCAGGTGATCTGTTTAAACCTGTGCACTCCGAATCAGAGAAGACAGTCAATCAGATTAGAGCTGTTGTCCTGATGCTTTCCAGTTTTTTTGTGCAATATGCATCAGAAGGTCAAAGTGCATGTCTTCAATGAGTGAGATCAAGCATAAGACTGAGAGACTTTCATCAGTGTAGCAGAAAAACAGTCGGGAAGATACTAGCTCTTCTGAGGAATGTGATTGCCATGCAATGTCATAGAGTATGTTTGTCACTGAGATATTTCCCCATTCTGACTATACACACGTTGCACATTTCGCTCATTTCTTTGCTGCCAACTGTGAAATCATTCGCAGAAACAAAAAATGAGCTGTGATGGGTTGTTTTATGCATACTGTAGATCCGGCAGCTTTGCCCTGTCTAAGCAGACTCTCCAAACATGCAAAGCTTTCAGAAATGTTTCGTGTTTTCAGGAACAATGAATCCTTCCATCTTTTACAATCCTCCTGTGCTTCAGTCAGTTGCATCAGTGACCACATCCTTCCACTCTTTAGTTCGGTGAAATCTAAGGGCAGGCCGTTGAGTGCAGATTCAGGCTTAGCTGTGGAATATCTAAAACACCATGTAGTTTAAGCCGTAATTAGACTGTGTTAGTACAACTGATTCAAAAAATGCATCTTTTGTAAAAAAGGCTTGGCAGGCTTGGCAAGGCTTGGCAAGCGGCAGTAATAATTTGGAGACCACTATAGAGTCACCACATCACACAAACCTCAGCTATACTGTGCAGATCACATACACACATCACATCTGCCTCAGTCTGATTTCAGATGCCTCCTGTAATGTTAAACAGCATGTGTGTTCTTCCTCTTCAAAATGAAAAACAACAACTCAAACTCAACATCTTTGAACAGCTTATCTAGATCAACTGTGGTCTGTCTTGAGGTTGTAACGTAACCAGTCACTCCACCCACTTGAAGCCCATGCACGATCTGTGTAAGTCGAAAGTAAAGAAGGTGTCTAGGAGCCAAAGCCATCTGTGAGCACAACATACTGTAGCTGGAACAAAGCTTTACATCTGCAAGCTTCAGAGATGCTGTGTCAGATCGAGTGATGTCGTATGTCACTGTTAAACATAGCCCAGTGCATGTACCCATATCAGATTTTATGACACAGTTGTGTTTGCTAAGGCAGCACTGTTATTTTCACTCATACTGAGGATTAGAGGTTTGGAGGTTTTAGAACAAACAGCATTCAGTGTTTGCATGATTCCTCAAGCCGTGTGTGTTGTTGAGGAGCGTGTGCTGCTGCTGTAGTAAGTGATAGGATGCACCATTTTCACCTGCTGAAGACAAACAAAATAAAACAGGTGAAAGGTTAAAGAGATGTGAGGGTGCAGGACTCTTTACAATTGGGAAACTAGGTCACTGAAAAAAGATCATTGCAACATTGCAAGGTCATTATCTCACAATTCTAACTTTTCCCCTCAAAACTGCCAGATTACTTTTTTTCTCAGAAATCTTTCTGGATGGATGGATAGACAGTTATATGGGTGGTTGGTTGGTTGGATAGATAGATCCATAGGTCCAGGAATAGATTATGGATGGATGGATGGATGGATTATGATAGATGAATGGATGGGTGGATGGATGGACGGATGGAATAGATGATGGATGGGTAGATGGATTAGATAGATGATGGGTGGATGGATGGATGGATGGATGGGTAGATTAGATAGATGATGGAAGGATGGATGGATGGGTAGATTAGATAGATGATGGAAGGATGGATGGATGGAGTTTAGATAGATGACTGATGGATGGATGGATGGTAGATTAGATAGATGATGGAAGGATGGATGGATGGAGTTTAGATAGATGACTGATGGAGGATGGATGGGTAGATTAGATAGATGATGGAAGGATGGATGGATGGAGAGATTAGATAGATGACTGATGGATGGATGGATGGTAGATTAGATAGATGATGGATGGGTGGATGGATGGTAGATTAGATAGATGGTTGGTGAATGGATGGGTGGATGGATAGCTCAAACAGAAGAGCATAGCGCTAACAACAGCAAGCTTCACTTCCCAGGGAAAGCAAGAAATCATTAAAATGTGTAACTTCATAAGTCGCTTTGTATAAAACTCATCTTTCACATGCATGACTGTAACTCGTCTGTGTGTCTCTGTTCTGCAGAATGCTGGAGTGGGTGAGTGAAGTGTTCTGGCACGAGCGTCTGTGGTTCCCTGAGGGATTGGGATGGGCTGATCTGGAGGACCGTGATGGCCGGGTCTTTGCGAAGGCACGGGATTTGTGGGCGGTACTGCCAATCGCCGTCCTGTTTCTAGTAATTCGACAGGTCTTTGAGAGGTGCGTTAAAGCTCTGTCTTCTTCCTGTGTGTTTTACTGTATGCCCTCCATGCAGAGCTTTTCTCTCCCTCTCCCTCTGTCTGACCCGTTTATAAATAGATCTTTAGTTCTATTGTCGACGTGCTTTTTGTCTCTCGCTTTTCAAATTTTAATGTCTTCTCTCCCTGCGTCACTCCCTTCATGTTACTCTCCCATCCCTCTCTTATCCTAAGCTGTCTCTTCACATCATCTCTTGCTTCCTCATTTATCCTGTGAATTTTTAATTACTACGAGTATCAGAATTAAGGAACAAGACGCAGAATTAGGATCAGTGCACTAAAATACACCTAATTACATCATCTGGTCCGAACTATAATAAACTGCCTGACTAGACTGTGAGACGTATTTGGAACAGTCTCAAGTCACTAATCATTAATCAAACTGAACAGTCCATTTCAACATATCAGTCAACGTCATTTAAAATACATAGTGTTTTTAATGTAAAAATATAATGTATGACGTCTCATCTGCTCAGCAAAGCTGCATTTATTTAATCAAAAATACAGTAGAACAGTAAAAATGGTTAATATTATTACATTTTAAAATAGCTGTTGTCTATATGAATATCTGTTAAACTGTAATTTATTTCTGTGATCAAAGCTGAATTTTCAGCATCATTACTCCAGTCTTCAGTGTCACATGATCTTCAGAAATCATTCTAATATGCTGATTTGCTGCTCAAGAAACATTTCTGATTATTATCAATGCTGAAAACAGTTGTGCTGCACAATATTTTTCTGGAAACTGTGATGCATTTTATTTTTCAGGATTCTTTGATGAATAGAAAGTTAAAAGAGCAGCATTTATTTGAAATACAGAACTTTTGTAACATTATACATTTCTTTACTGTCACATTTGATCATTTAATGCATCCTTGCTCAATAACTATTCATTTCTTTCTTCAAAAACGTCTGCCTGTATGTTCAGATATGTTGCTACACCGCTAGCCTCTCTGCTGGGCTTGAAGGAAACAGTCAGACGGCGAGTTACACACAACCTCACACTGGAGTCCTACTATTGCAACACAACTAAAAACCCCACACAGGTGCGTACGCTGCTAACCGCTCTCATACATGAATAACACATTGGCCCACACTCAGTTTTGGGAAGGTTACTTTGGAAGTTACCCTATCTGAAATGTAATAAGTAGGCTTGTGTAACTATTTCAATTATTTTATTAAAGTAATGTAACTGATTACATTTGATTACTTTTCTAAAATTATAATGTTTTCAACTATTAATCATTTTGAAACATGTAAAGCAGGCAGGGTTAACCTTACAGTAGCACTCAACACTGATTACTGTCAGACTTTCAGAATCCTTCATCGCTTGAATTAAGATTATAATAATTTCATTTTAAAGCACAGCCACCACAAAATCAGATATTATCACCTCTTTTTACTTTGAGATCACTCTGAGGTTAAATACAGATTGAAAACCATAACAATAAATAGTTTAATAGCTATGATACTGTTTTTGAAATCAAATCTTTGCATTAGTGCAGTCAAACGTTTAATCGCGATTAATCGCATTAAAAAAAAACATTTTGTTCACATAGTATATGTGTGTGTACTGTGTATATTTATTATGCATATATAAATACACAACCATGCATGTATATATTTAAGAAAAATGTTACGTTTGTATATTAAATATATTTATATATAATATAAATTATATGAATATAAATATATGCATGTAAATATTTTCAAAATATATACTGTAAGTGTGTGTATTTATATATACATAATGAATATACCCAGTACACACACATATATTATGTAAATAAAAACTTATTTTGGATGCGATTAATCGCGATTATTCGTTTGACAGCGCTACTTTGCATATCTATGACAGGAAACACTGGCATCTAACAATGCTTTGGAAAAAAATAAAATAAAGCATTTACATAAACCTATCAAATAGGAAATAAAACAGTTATTGAAATATGTGTCCTAAACTCCTGAAACATTGGTGTTTCATATTTTAGAGCAGTCACTGCAATTTATGAAATAAATCAATTACATCTGTATATGTGAGAGTGTGTGAAAAAAAATTCTGAAGTAGCCTCCTTTGTAATCGTTAACATTTTCATAACTGTAATTTAATTGCACATTTTTTTCTCAGTAACTGTAACTGATTACAGTTACATTTATTTTGTAATTTATCGTGTTTTTGCTCTCCAGAGTTCAGTAGAGAAACTGTGCAAGCAGACGGGATGGACAGAGCCACAGGTCCAGCGCTGGTTCAGGCGGCGCAGGAATCAAGACAGACCCAACCTTCTCAAGAAGTTTCGTGAGGCCAGGTGAAAAAAAACACACCAACAGAAACATTATTCACAAGCACTCTTTATAGCCCTGTTACCATCGACTGTTTCCTGTGAGATGAGCTTTAGCTGCTGATGTACGAGATTAAATGATGCTTTATGAAAGCGGTTTCTCTAAGTGCAAAAGCTGAAGCGTGTTTGGCACTTACTAAATTATTCATATGTTTAGTAAAAGTTTTAAAGGCTCATTCACATGCAGTTTTTCTCAATCTTGGTCCTAGAGGACAACAGCATTGCTCCTTTTTCCAGCTCAGCTCTTAAAGCCTAATGCACAGAGATCTATCGCAAGAAACAGCACGTTTAGTTCAAGCACAGGAACCAAGGAAGATCTCAGAAAGACCCGTAAAAACATCACTGATTGGCTGCTCTCAAACCTTTTGCTAGTGACAAAATATATAATAATCAGGTAGTGGTGAAAACCACTCACAGAAACTGAAAATTAAAGTTTCCATGTTGCCGAAAATGAAAATAGTTTATTTAATCATCAATTAATTAATCAAATGTATTTAATAATCAACACGCAGATAAAAAAAACAAACTGATTTTTATGTAAACGTTTAAATTGCATATAAGGCTGTTTTTATATCAACTTTTAATTATATAACTATGTTTGATTCTAATTCATGAAATATAAACATTTAAGCGGTCGCCATAATAAAACTTGTTTTCATGACACATTTATTCAAACATGCATTAAATAATGAAGACAACAGATTAAGTAAAAAATATAATGAATATATAATACAGTGCATTGAGAGTTTTATTTTTCTGGCGGGCTAATGAGTTCATGGACACTGTATATGGTGTTACGTGACATTATTGTTTATGAGCTGTTTTACTGATGTTTTTCTGTGGTTGAAACACTGATTGATCGATTACATGAGACATGATTAATTTCAGTAAGTTGTTCTGTTTCTTTCAACACCTTCTGATATTCATTCGTGTTTATTTCATGCTATAACTAATAGTAATGAGCAAGAGATGATTGTTGCAGCAAATTTTTGTTTCTATTTGACAGAATTTGAAAGATCAGACTTAGTTTCATATCAAAAATAACAGCTTATTGCGATTATTGGATGGCAGACACCACAAATAAAGTTTTTGTTCACAGGTCAAATGAAAAGATCTCAGTTCATCTAAAAGGAGAAAATCCACATTGTTAATCCAGCTGTAGCGTCCACACAGCTGACATATTTACCTGGCGTAGTTTATCCGTGTTATGTGCATGAGACAGTCAAAATGCTCCATCAGAGAAATGCTAATTAAACATCATTGTTTTGGTCAATGATTTTAGCCCTCCAAAACTATTTTGGCCGAAACTGAAAATTAATTTTCAGCTAAATATGTTCTGTTGTGAAATTTGGTGCATCACAAATATAGTGAAATATACTACTTGGAAAAAACATGTATACACTTCTTTTGAAAGAGCGTCAATGGCAGAAAGATGGTTTCCCTCTCATAACGGTTTAGTTACGGCATCTAACAGCATGACTTGGTTAACTAACCAAACCTTGACCCTTTTGCTCTTTTGCAGCTGGAGATTCGCCTTTTATCTTCTCGCCTTCATCGGTGGTCTTGTTGCACTAATAGATGTAAGTCCTTTGCCGTTTCAGCCTGTTTTAACTATCTGGTTTTATTTTCTGTGCTGTGTTTTTTTTGCATAACACAATCCGTCCTGTTCTCTAGAAACCCTGGTTGTATGATCTCGAGGAGATGTGGAAAGGCTTCCCCACTCTGGTGAGTTCAGTCTCCTGTGAAAACATGGCATCTTGTCCAGCTGCTCTTTTTCTAAAGGGTTCCTTGTCATCTCAGCAAATACTGTATTAAATGTACAACAATTTGAAATGCACAAACTGCAGATTTAGTACATAAGAACTAAGCATTTCTATAGCCAACTACCTTTAAATAGAGCTGATGTTGCATTGATGTCATATAGGACTTAGGTACATCTTTATATGTAATTTCATAATTACTTCTATTGTCTTTACTGCTGGACTAAACGTCAAGCATTTATGCTAAACTAAAATATACTTTATGAATATTTTTAAATACATGACATACGAGTTTCAATAGAAATGTCATTAATTACACATTTGCAATTTACTACACTTAAATTATTTTAGCTGTAAAATGTAAACACGCTACAGTTAAAATGATAATCAAGTGCATTATGTGTGCTTTAGTATGTTAGTCTGCAGCACATACAAATGTGTTCTTCTTTAAAGCACAACAAAGGATTATTAGAACACAAACGTACTTTAAAGTAAAACATTTAATTTGACATCATTGTAAAGTGCACTTTTTAAAAGCGTGAGTGTGTCATGAAAGTACACATTCTTTTTCTCAAGGCACATAATAAAGTCAGACAGTGCCTTTCTTTTGTAGAATTTAAATCCCGTAATAATCCATATGTAAGTATTTAGTTGATCTGACTATTTTTTTTAAATCATAATCACATGGTTATGTGATATATAGAACATTAGTTGAATTTCCAGCATAATATATGATACTGTAATCATCTTGTTCATATCGCCCGCTTCTACTCAAGCGATTTGATCTGAATTTGCAGTCAAGTAATACCAGTAAAGTCTATTAATAACTAATCAGATTTGGCTAGCTGATGCTACATTATTTATAGAGTGGATGATTTTGAGTGTGCCGTCTCTCTCTCTGTCTCTCAGACTCTCCTGCCGTCTCAGTACTGGTACTACATGCTGGAGCTGGGTTTCTACACCTCTCTTCTCTTCAGCGTGGCGTCTGATGTCAAGCGTAAAGTGAGTCTGCCATCATCACACTGCAGACCTCATCTTTGCATCTCAGTGAATCAGACTTTATTTTTTGAGCAGCGCAGTATTCAAAGCAGCAGCTAATGCTGGGAATCACTACAGGCTGTTTTGTTTTTGCGGTGGCCTCGATGACAGATGTTTCGATTGTTTCCATGTGCTACTTTTAGTAAGTTAAAGTAGCTGAAAACATGTTTTATTCTCCTGCAGCTCTCTGATGGCAGACAGAGAAATAGATTTAAACACATGAATCGGAGCCTCTGAATTTGTGGAAGCAAATATAAAGTGAAATAATATACAACAGGTGGTAATTAAAAAAAAAAGCTGTGTGTGTGTGTGTGTGTGCGTGCGTGCCTGTGTGTGTATATAC